GAGACGGGTTTCTTGTCTCCTAGTATAATGCATACACTATACAGCAGCACGCTGCCTGCTGCTGCTGCTGCTGCTGCTGTTGGGGTTAGGCCATTGCCGCAGCAAAGGAGACAAAGCAAATGCAGCAGCAGGAGGCGACAAGGAAGGAGGAGACACGCATAAAGGAGACAGAGCAGCAGGAGAGGGACGAACTAAACCCGCTACTGTCTCCTGCTGCTGCTGCTGCTGCTGCCCTCTCCGCTGTTGCTGCTGCTGCCGCTGCTGCTGCTGCTGCTGCCGCTGCTGCTGCTGCTGCAGCGGGGAGAAGACGGCGTCGTATACTATTTGCTGCGGCATCCCCATTGGCAAGTACAGAGGAGGTCGGTACTGAACAGCAGACCGCTGCTGCTGCTGCTGCTGCTGCTGCTGCTGTTGCTGATTCAGAGCTGCTGCTGCTGCTACACCTGCAACAGCTGCTGCCTCAGCTGCAGCAGCTACTGCTGCTGCTGCTGCTGCTTGTGCTTGGCACCGCTGCTCCAGGATACCTGCAATGCTGCTGCTGCTGCAGCTGCTGCTGCTGCCTTGTATGATTTGTCTGGGTGGAGAGGCACTACTTGCTACTGGTGACAGCCGATTCCCTGTCCTTGCTGCTGCTGCTTCTGCTGCTGCTGCTGCTGCTGCTTCTGCTGCCGCTGCTGCTGCTGCTGCTGCTGCTGCATGCCCCATGTCTCGGTACTGTATCCCTGTTGAGGGGTCTCCTTCATCAGGGACAGAAGAAAGAACACTTGTTGTCTCCTCCTCGCTGCTTAAAGGAGACACTGCAGCAGGAGCATTTGCAGCAGCTGCTGCCCTCGGTGTTCCTGCTGCTGCTGCTGCTGCTTCTGCGGCTGAGCTTGCTGCTGCCTCGGTCCAAGGCAGAGGAGGAGAAGCAGCAGGCATCAGAAGTCCCCTGGCAGAAAGAGCAGAAGGGGAAGCAGCAGCAGCAGCAGCGGCAGGATCAGGAACTGTTGCTGCTGCTGCTCCAGGCTGTATTGTGTTTATACATTTGTCTCCTCCACAGGCGGCAGCAGCAGCTGCTGCTGCTGCTGCCGCCGCCGCCGCCGCAGCAGAAGGGCCTCCCTCCTGCTGCTGCTGCATCTTTACGGGGTAGCCAAAGGAGTTGGAGACCCTCGAGACTTCCTCAAGGAGAAGAGCTCTTGTTAGCTGCTGCAGTAGTGCTGCAGGTCCTCCTTCGCGCAGCGCTGCAGCAGCAGCAGCAGCAACAGCAGCAACAGCAGCAGCAGGGCAGGTAAAAAGCAGCAGTAACAGCAGGGGGCAAGCAACAGCAAACAGCACCGGCAAAAGCCACAGCAAGGGCAGACGGTCCGCTGCAGTATTAAGCTGCAGCAAATAATGAGCAGCAGCAGCAACAGCAGCAGCAAAAGCAGCAGCAGCAGCAGCAGCAGTAGCATATAAAGAAGTGCTGCTTGTTTACCATCCGCCAGTGGGCCTGGGGCAGTTGTGTCTTCCCCGTAGCGTGATTGGAACATTCTGCTGCTGCTGCTGCCGCTGCTGCTGTTGCTGCTGCTGCTGATTTTGCTGATGCTGCTGCTGCTGGTGCTGCTGCATGCAGCACAGAAGCGGCCATTCTTATAAGAAGGAGGAGGAGGAGGAGGAGGAGGAGGGGAACGATAAGGCTGCAGTGTCTCTGCTGTCTCCTTTACTGAGGAGACAGATTGCATAAGGGACCTAACAGCCCTCTGCAGCAGCAGCAGCAGCAGCAGCAGCAGCAGCAGCAGCAGCACCTGTAAGGGCCCTACTCGTGTGTATCTGCAGCTGCGGCAGGGCAGAGGTTTATTTAATAAGGAAAAGGAGACACTTTTTATTAGATAAGGAGACACATTATTAGGTGTCTCCTTATCTTAATAATAAAAAGGAGACAATAAATAAAAAAAGGAGACACCTTTTTTTATTAAATAAAATAAATAAATAAATAAATAAATAAATAAATAAATAAATAAATAAATACCTTAATAGATGTAACTTCCCTCCAATTCTCATCTAAGCGCCGCGAATTCTCCGCAGATGCAGCAGCAAGAGCAGCTTGCTGCCGCAGCAGCTGCAGCAAACAAACAGCAACAACAGCACCAGCAACAGCAGAAGCAGCAACAGCAGCAGCACAAGCAGCAGCAGCAGCAGCAGCAGGAGAATCGTGTGTATGCCAAACCGCCCGGACAAGGAACAGACGCACCAGCAGCAACAGCAGCAGCAGACAGCCAGCATAGCAGCAGCAACTGCAGCAGACGCAGCAGCAGCAGCACGCTGCAACGCTGCAGATATATTGTCTCCTTTTTGTCTCCTTTTTATTCATTAATGTGCCTCCGTACCTTTGATTGTATTAATCTGTCTCTTCTATCTTTTCTTCTGCTTCTTTCTGCTGCTGCTGCTGCTGCTGCTGCTGCTGCTTCCTCTGTAGATCCGCCAAGGGGGGCCCCTTCCCAAGGGACCATAGACCACATTTGGGGGGCCCCGTGGGGACGACGGGGCCCCCCCTGGGGACGACGGGGGCCCCTAGACACTTGGTGGGGACCCCAGAAGGATGGGTACCCTGGTGGGACCTTCTCGCGGTGGCCAGAGGAGACTCCTGTACCCTTGTGGAGCCCCCCAGTCTCCTTCTGCCTCCTCTGCTGCTGCTGATGCTGCTGTTGCTGCTGTTGCTGCTGTTCTCGCTGCTGCGCCTGCTGCTGCTGTGGCTCTTCTTGCGGTGCCTGTTGATGATGACGCTGCAGAGAGGAGACGCCGTTGCTGCTGCTGCTACCCTTGTTGCTGTTGCTGGCGACCGGTGCGGTGCTGCGGCTACGTTTGCCTAGCTGCGCAGCCGAGGTAGCACCTTCAGCAGCAGCAGCAGCAGCAGCAGCAGATGAGTCAAAGTATTGCATATCTGCTGTCTGTACACCTGGACATGGCCTCCGCCTGACCACATGCGAACCCGGCACCGTGCTGCTGTTGCTGCTGTTGTTGCTGCTGCTGCAGCTGTTAGTCACCATTTTCCTGCCGCTCTTTTCGTTGATGCTGGGTTTGCTGCTTCTGCTGCTGCTGCTGCCTTTGCTGCTGCCGAGGCTATGGGGCCGCGGCCTCGGGGTGCTCTCTGCTGTCTCCGATCCCCAAGACTCTGTAGGGACAGCAGCAAGTGTACCGCCACAGTTGCAGCTACTCTTGCTGCTGTTGCTGCTGTTGCTGCTGCTACTACTGTCGCTGCTGCTGCTGCTGGTGCTTCTGCAGTGGCTGTTGCTGCTGTTCGTGTTGCACTTGGAGGTGCTGCTGCTGCAGTTCCTGTTATTGTTTATACTACAATCATTGTTATTTCTTCTGCTCTTGCTGCTCTTGCTGCTCTTGCTGCTGCTGCTGTTGCTGCTTGCTGTTGGTCTACTTGTTTGGCTATCAGCATCTGACAGCACAGTATAGTTAGCAGCATTTGCTGCTGCTGCTGCTTCTGCTGCAGCAAAGGAGACACTGCTGTCTCCTTCTCTATTGCAGTTGCTGTCTCCTCCAATTGTGGGTAAGTCCTTGTGGATCTCCTCAACGGGGGGGCCCCCATGTCTGGTGTGGGGGGCCCTCTGCTGGGGGGCCCCTAGAGGAAGGGTACCGTAGCTAGATAGATGAGGGGGAGGGGCTTGCTGCTTAATTGCCTCTAGTGCTGCTAATGAGAGACCTGAGTAGTCTGCTGCTACCCTCTCTGCCTGCAGTGCTGCATCTGCTGCAGCAACAGCAGCAAAGGCTCCTCGTGCTGCAGTGCAGCAGGCTGCCTGGCTGCTTGCTGCCTTGGAGGCAGCAGCAGCTGCTGCTTCTTCTGCCGCAATAGCGCTCTCCGCCGCCGCCGCTGCTGCTGCTGCTGCAGCTTCTGCTGCTGCTGCAATAGCGGAGCTGCAGCCCCTTTCCGTTTCCGCTGCCTTCGTTGCTCCTGCCCCTTCGGCTTCTGCTGCTGCTGCTGCTGCTGCTGTTGCTGCTCGTTTGGCCTTCTCCGAAGCCTCGACAGATGCAGCAGCAGCAGCAGTTGCTGCTGTTGCTCCTCGCGTGGCGATCTGTTCAGCTGCATGTACAGAACCCACGGCAGCAGCAGCAGCTGCTGCGGCTTCTGCTGCTGTTTCTGCTGCAACTAGAGCTTCCTTGTTAGCAGCAGCAAATGCATGGCTGTTCTCGAACACTTCTGCTGCTGCTGCTGCAGTTGCTGCACGAATTGTCTCTACTTGCCTATGAGACTTTGCTGCTGCTGCTGCTGCTTTCTCAAAGGATTGCTGCAGCCGCCGCCTCTCCGATGCCACCGCTGCTGCTGTAAAATCAGCAAGTTGCTGCAGCTGTGATGCAGTGGCTATACACTTGAGTGCAGCAGATTCTGCTACTGCAGCACACTCAGCTGCGGTTTCCCGGTGTTGCTGCGTTGCTGCTGCATCTGCTGCTGCTGCTTCTTTGTGCTGCTGGAGATCTGCTGCTACGCTTGCTACTGCTTCGTTAGCATCGCCAAGCATCTTACATTCCTCAACCCGCTCAGTAGCAGCAGCAGCGGCTGCTACTGCCTTCATCTCGTCCTGTAGGGTAACCGTAGCAGCAGCAGCAGCAGCGGCAGCGGCGGAGCGCTGCTTCTCGCCGTCGGCTGCTGCTGCAGTAGCAGCAGCAGCAGCTTTTTCTGCAGCAGCAGCAGCCCGTTTTGCCTTCTCAGCAGCTTCGAAGGCTTGTTGTTGCTGCTGCTGCACTGTGGCAACAGCAGCAGCAGCTGCCGCTGCTGTCTCCTTCTGGGACTTCAGTTCAGCAGCAACAGCTGATGTCCACTCCTGCAGCTTTGCTGCTGCTGCTGCTGCTGCAGTCACTTTCTGTTGCAGCTCATCTGCTGTACGTTCAGCTTTCTCCTTGCATCTGCTCACTGCTGCTGCATCTGCTGCTTCCTTGTGGTGTTGCATCTCCGTTGCTGCAGCAGCAACAGTTTTCTGGTGACTTGCGTGTGCCTCGTGTGTCTCCTTCCCAGCAGCGGCAGCAGCAGTAGATGCATGCTGCTGCTCTATAGCAGACACGAGCTCAGATGCTCTAGCAGCAGCATCCTGTGCAATTGCTGCTTCTGCCTTTGCTAATCCTTCCCATTCCTCTATCTTTTGCTGCTTTTCTTCTGCAGCAGCAGCAGCAGATGCTGCTGCTGCTTCATGCTGCTGCACCTTTTTAACTCCTGCTGCAGCAGCATCCAGCTGCTGCTTGAATTCAGCAAAATAAGCAGCAGCAGCCTCCTTGTGTCTGCGTATATCATCTGCGTTTGCTGCTGCTTCGTCCTTGCGCCGCTGCACAGCAGTAGCATTACAAGAAGCAGAATCAGCAGCTTGCTGCATGCGCTGCTGTGCAGCAGCACTAGATTTGAGGCACTGCTCTGCTGCTGCAACGCCTCGTGTTGCTGCTTCTGCTGCTTGCTTCGCCTCTTGCGCTGCAGCCATAACCATGACGTAGCAATCGTCTACTTGCTGCCGTCGCTTCAGAGCAGCAGCAGCAGCAGAAGTAGCAGACTGCAATGCAGCATCAGCTGCTTCGTGCTGCTGCTGCTGCTGCTGCTGCGGCTTGTGCTCCTGTAACGCAGAAGCAGCAGCACCTGCTGCTGCTGCTACTTTTTTGACTGTTGCTTCTTGGCTCTTTGCTGCTTCTACTACTGCTGCTATTTCTGATTTTACTGCAGCAAAATATGCCTCCTGCTGCTCCACTGCAGCAGCAGCAGCAGCACGCTGCTTCCTTGTCTCTTCTACTAGAGCAGCAGCATCTGCTGCTCTTTCCTTAGCCAGTGTCGCCGCTGCTTCTGCAGCTTCTCTGAATGCACCTGTGTGTTGTTGCTGCTGCTGGGCATCAGCAGCAGCTGCTGCAGCAGCAGTAGCTGCTGCTGCTGCATCTCTACCCGACGCAGTAGCAGAAGCAACAGTATCCTGCAGCTGCTCCTTTGTATCTGACGCTTTTAGCAATAGAGCAGCAGCATCTTCTGCTGCATGCGATGCTATTTTTGCTGCTGCTTCTGCTCTTGTGGCTGCTGCAGCACAACGGCTCTCTGCTTGCTTGCAGTGGTCTGCTGTTGCTTCTGCCTTTTTAGCCAAAGCAGCAACAGCAGCAGCAGCAACAGCAGCATCTGCTGCTGCTTCAGACACCTGCCGCCTCCCCCCTATTGCTGCTGCTGCAGCAGAAGAAATAAGCATCATACCCTGCTCGAGTGCTTCTGCTGCTACAGGGTGTGGTTCTGCTGCGTCTGCAGCTCCAGCTGCATCAAAAGAAGCAGAATCATCTGCAGCAGCAGCAGCTGCTGCTGCGGCTTCTGCTGATTGTGCAACGTATGCTGCAGGTGCTGCTCCAACTCCCGTTGCTCTACTTGTCTCCTCGGGGGGTTGTCCCTTTGCTGCTGCCTCCTCCTCACCGGAAAGTTGCTGCCGTCGTGCTTCTGCTGCTGCTGCTGCTGCAGCGTCAGCTCTGATGGGCTTATTTGCTGCAGCAGCTGCTGCTGACTTTCCTGTTGTTGGTGCTGCTGCTGCTGCTGCTGTTGATGTTGATGCCTTGGGTTCGCCGTGTGCCCTCTTAGTGTCTCCTGGGTCTTGATATTCTTCTTCTTCTGCTGCTGCTGCTTCGGCGGCAGCAGCAGCAGTCGCTTCTGCTGCTGCTGCCACCTCGATTGCCTCTTCTTCCGCTAGTCGTGCTGCTGCTGCTGCTTGTGCTGATGCCCGTGCTTCTACCTTAGCAGCAGCAGCAGCTCTTTCAGCACCTGCAAGCGCGCGCGCATTGTTGTCATTTGCTGCAGCTGCTGCTGCAGCTGCTTCTGCTGCTGCTGCTGGGTCTGCAATTGCTGCTGGTGTACCTGCTGCAGTGGCTTCTGCTGCAGCTGCTGCATCAATTGCCTCGTCTTCTGCCATTTTCGCTTTTGCTGCTGCTGCTGCTGCTTGGGATTTCGTGGTGGTTGCAGCAGCAGCTGCTGCAGCAGCAGCAGCTGCTGCTGCTGCAACAGCTGCACCAACTGCACTTGCCTCTCTTTTCATTCTTGTGGCACTTGCAGTTATTCGTGCTGCTGCTGCTGCTGCTGTCTCCGCTGCTGCTTTTGGTTTTGCCGCTGCGGCTGTTTTGGTTGCTGCTACTGCCGCATCTGTCTTTGCTGTTGCTCTTGTTGTTGTTGCTGCTGCTGTTGCGCTTGCTGGGGTTGCCGCTGCTGCCGTTGCGCTTATTGGGGTTGCTGCTGCTGCTGTCGCGGTTGTTGGGGTTGCTGCTGCGGCTGTTTCGCTTGTCGGGGTTGCTCCTGTTGCTGCGCCTTCCGCAGCAATTTTCCCGAACTGCTTCCTTTCCGGATGGGTCTGTTGCAGCAGCTCCAGCAGCTGCTGCTGCTGCTGCTCGTGCTGCGGTGGTTCCTGCAGGTGTAAGGTCTTGATTGTCTCGTGCAGCCTCAGCTGCAGCTGTTTGTGCTGCTGCATAGTTTTGTGGATATCCATCACATTTGTTGTCCCCTCTACTTTTTGTGGGGTCTTCTGTTGATTTCTTGCTGCT